CATTATAGGCATTTGTGGGGCGTTATTAACGCTCGGCAAACGCCTAGCAACCTCCGCTAAACCTCGCATGCAGCGTTTGCGGAGCGTTAAACGCTCCGCAAACGCCGGACCAACGCTTGCCAAATGCTATAGGGGCGTTTGGCAAGCGTTGGTAAAACAGTCAAGTGTGAACAAGCCCTTACTGTGTCAGAAAAAAAGCCATGAAATCAAAGAATCTGCCTGCAGAGCTCAGATTATTGCAAGGCACAGATCTGTGTAAGGCTACAAAAAAAATTTCTGCTGCACTGAAAGTTCTCAAGAGCACAATGACCTCCCTAATTCTCAAATGGAAGAAGTTTGGCACAACCAGGACTCTTCCAAGAGCTAGCCTGGCCAAACTGAGCAATTGGGGGAGAAGGGCCATAGTAAGAAAGGTGACCAATAACCCGACTGTCACTCTGAGCTCCAAAGAACCTATGTGAAGATGGGATAAAGTTCCCGAAGGACAACCATCACTGCAGCTATCCACCGATCTGAGCTTTATGGCAGAGTGGTTAGATGGAATCCTCTCTTCAGTGCAAAACACATGAAAGCCTACTTTTGCAAACTCCAAACAGACTTTCATGGTCTTGGTTTGTGTTTTTGTTCCGACTTTCCCAGAAGGGACTAGTACTGCACAACTGTTTCACCCGCGCATGCTGGGAATGAACGCTGGGATTCAAGACTCCTGCCTTTTGGCTTTCTGAGCCTGTGGAGATCCATTACTGTGTCACATTCTACTGTGCTCAAAGGGCTGCCTCCTATGGTATGTGCTTGCACCCACTTGTCTTTCACACAGTCTGCACCACCGCTGTGCTCCTTTCAGGGGATCACCCATTGTGTTCCTGTTGTGGCTCCCGAGCAACCTAGTCAGATGGCTTGATAACCCTCCCTTAGCAGCTGGTTCTGAGTATCCCTGTTGTGAGACCCTTTAGTACATGCCTGGTAGTATGTTTGATCACTAGTGCAGAAGGAGCGTTCCTTGCCAGTGTGGAGAAATGTCTTTTGGCTTTTATGGCCATCCACTTTCAGGATATTTCAAATGTTTGGGTCCACAAAGTTGTGTCCAGCTGGAAGCTGCAATTTTACCTTCCCTTAAAAAGACTGGTGTACCTCCATGTTGCTGTGGTTCAGCTCTTCTCTCAAGGGGTCATAGTACATAGTTGTCCTGGTAAGGAAAAGGTCCTAGGGTTTCTATTCAAACCTGTGCACTGTCCCCAAGGCCAAAGGGGGCATTCACCTCAAACTAGACCTGAAGCTTCTCAACACCTTCCTCTGGTTTTACAAAATTTGCATGGAATTCGGCAGGTCAGTTATTGCTTCCTTTTGGCCCTACTGGCCTTTTTGGACATCAAGGATGCTTAATTGCATGTCTTCATTGTCCTGGTACATCAATAGAAATTAATCATTACAAATGAGTTGATCTTCTTTTTGGCATGACTAGCACCTTTTGGTCTTCACCAAGGTTCTAGCGATTGTTCTGTCATTGCTTCACTCTCAGAGCATTTCTATAGTGGGATATGTAGGCAGCTAGGGTTCAGTCGGCACAGACTATATCAGTCAATGTCTAATGGAGTGTCCAGACACTATGGAGGTTAGGGCAGATTATAAATCTTTAGAGGCCAGCACTAGAGCCTTCTCACGGCTTGGAGTATCTGGTTCTGAACACGGCCCTATTCAAAGTTTTCCTTCCAGAGGACAAACTCCAGACACCTTAACCCTCTTCTTTTGTATAGGATTTCTGGGCTTGATGGTGGCCACTTTCAAAACTGTTTCATATACCCAAAATCTCTCCAGACTATAGCAACTCCACATTCTGACAGTATAGGACAGACTGGTTCAGGCCCTGGATTGTTGCATAGGCATGGTCTACAAAACTAGGCTTTCAATTTGTGTTAATTTCATCAAGGAAAATATATTTGTCATAGTTTTCATCAGCCTGTCTGTTTAAAGCCCAGTCCCCTGACTCTTTTGGCAAGCTGTATTGGCTGAGAGATGCAGGCTCCCTCTGTCTGCCTGCTGCCTGGAGATTACTGGATACTGGAGATGTTGGTCACCTAAAATGTAATGGAGATTTTAGCTGAATAAATACAACTAAAAACTAAAATAATTCAGAAGACTAAAATATGACTAAAACTTAAATGGCATTTTATTCAAAAGACTATGACTAAAACTAAATTGAAATTTGATGTCAAAATTAACAGTGTCTTCCATTTCCTTGTTGATCATGATTCCAGTTCTGGAGTTATTCTTCCTCCTACTGGTCTGGAAGTTTTTACAACAGATATCAGCCTTTTGGGCCGGGAAGATGTCTTTTATATTTGTTCGGTGCACGGGATTGGGCCACCAAGGGAAAGCTAATCTTCTAGAGAGTGATGCAGCTATTCTTTCAACGCTGGATCTCTCAGTCGCAAGGTCGTCCAACCAAGATTTAGTCAAACATTGCCACCACAGTGACTTCTATAAACCATCAAGGTGGAACTAGAAGTTTTGCAGCAAAAAGAGAAAGGCAGATCAGTCTTAGTCTGCAGTGCACATCCAAAACATGGAAAATTGGCAAGCAAATTTCCTTAGTTGTCAACGTCTGGACTCTGGACAATGGTCCTTTGTTTCAAGCCCTCTGGTGCAGACAGAGGGTGCTAGGTTTGGACCTCTTGGTTTCAAAAAGAAACTGAGCAGGTTTGTATCCAGGTCCAATGATTCTCTATCCTTAATATAGGATACTGTGGTGCCTTCATGAAATCAATTAAACCTGGTGTATTCTCTTCTTCCTCTAAAACACTTTCCTTGCCAGAGCTGAAGGATCAAGATGGAAGGGAATTCGGGTGATTTTCATTGCACCAAATTGGCCCAGGCTGATGTAATACTCAAACCTCATTAGATTCTTGGCAGACTTTGTCAGCATCTCCATATCAATACAATATCAATATAGTATCCCTTCTTTTGGTCTTTAGTAAAGTGGTTGTAAAGGTAAAAGTTTTTTTTTTCTTTCTTTCTTTTCTTTTACCTTTAATGCATACTCTGCATTAAGGTAAAAAAAAATCTTTCAATGTCAGCTTTCCGCGTCTTAAGTACATACCTGAGCTCGATCTCAATCCTGTGCTGCACATGTCAGCAGCGCTGCTCTTCCTTCCCCTACTTGACAGGAGGCTCGGCAGCATTGGTTCCTGCTGCTGTCAATCAAATCCTGTGAACAGGGAGAGGGGTGCAGAACTGCGCCACATTGTATGTGTCAATAAACACACGCAGTGTGACTGGAAATCAAGCCCGCACAAGTGCCTTGATTTTAAGCAGCTTGCTATGGGGACGCTCGAAGAAGAGGAGGAGCTAGGAGTGCCAGCCAGAGCAGGTAAGCATAACATGTTTGTTATATTAGAAAAAAAATTAAACCATTACAACCACTTTAAAAACCAATATCCAATAGTCAATAGTATTGGATATGTGAAAATCAAAAAGTGCGGGTAACAGTAAATAACTAATATACAAGAACCTCAGACAAATGTGAAAATCTGAATAATAAAACCTATCATTTTATCAATTGTGTTAAAAAAAACAGTAAGGGGTCTATTTGTAACGAAATAATCATAATGTTTGTAATATAAATGTTAGGCTGCTTTCATACTGCTCCTTTGCAAAAATGTGGTAAAAATACATATCAGTTTTTGCCGTGTTTCCGGTGCATCTGGACATGCTATTCCAAGGAGCACCAAAACTGCAATCGTGCATGCAGTTTTTGATGTATTTCCAACCATTTCCAAGGGGAAATGCGTTTTTGTGCAGTTTTTATACCCCACCAAACATGCACCAAAAATGCAGCAAGCGGGACTTTTAAAAACACAGCTGACTGGTGTAGAGCGCTCCATAGGATTTAAGGGTCATGCATTGTTCTTCCGCTTTTGGTAAGGCAAAAATGGAAGTAAAACTGAACAGTGTGAAATAGCCTGATAGTTTATTATCCTTCAGAACACTGGTCCATGATTTGTAACCTTCATCAGCAGAGAAAACAGCCTTAAACAATAATCTAACAATGGTCGCCTAGAAGGGGAAATATGAGGGAGACCTCTGTACTGTGTGCAGACAATGGAAAATCCTGTGTGAACGAACTAACAAATGGGTGTTTGGTGAGCAAACCTCCAGCTGCATTGTGGAGTCGATGTAAGGATCTATCGATCAACCAGCCTGTTGGAAAATTTCCTCTCTATCGGCGCCACTGGCTATAGATGGCAGTGCTGATTGGGAGTATTTTGACAGTGTGGAAATCTCCCTGCTGTCAGAATACAATAATGCTGTGGGAGGGATTCCCCCATCCGCATCAATTGTGTGGATAGTGGCATAAAGTCATTTTGTTTCGTTCAGCTCGCCGATTGAATGAAAAAATAAATGACTTGTGTATGGCTAGTCTTAAGTGTGTATTTGTTTTTGCCTTAGTTGCCACCCCTTGTCCTAGATCCTGCTAACCTTCATTTTTAGTGCCTTGTATTTTGTATCTTTGACAGTTCTCTTCTCAATATCTCTCTAGCTTTTTGTCCCCAATTTTTTTTTTTTTTTTTTTTTTTCCTCAGCCAGATTACCTTTTCTTCATTCCTGTCTGCCATCTCCAGCAAGGCCTAAATCCATCAAAATCAGTAGCTATGAATTTGCCTAGCTTTCTTCCACCTTAATCCTACTAGGCCCTGCTTCAAGACCTTCCAAGCCCATTGGCCACGATGAGCAGTGTTCTGCTGATCATTACAAGTATGCTTAATGGCCACTCTCCCAACATGATGAAAATACATGTATACATTTAGATGCTAATCACATTGTTATATAGCAAAACTGGATTGTTCCACATTTATAACAAAAATTTTTTCCTAAATGTAACAGATAATCTGTGGAGTGCATATAGTCCAAAAGATTCCGTAATTGAGAGAAACAAAACATCATCATCTGCTTCAGGAGAAAGTCAGAAAGCGTACAGTCAAAATTATGTCTTGACAGACATCATGACTTACTTCACAATGCTAGTAGGAATTTACTTTCCCTCCGTGACAGGTAAGGAAGTAATTTGATAGTAAAAGATGACTTTATTGATGTCTAAACATTTTGGTTAAAAAAGATATATGCTTAATCCATATTGTAAAAGGTTTATTGTGGAAAAAGGGACAAAGTGTCATAGCTAATTATGTTCTTGTGTTTAATGCTAATTTGTACTTTGACAACGTCATGGCTGGATTACAGTAATGCCCTTACAGAAGTGTACACCACATAGTCACAGAGAAATAAGTCAGACCCTATGTCAGTGGGGAGTGACATATCCTCAGCCCAGATTGTGAAGTGGTGACAACAAGGTGTGTGTCGTGGGACTATAGACCAGCAACACTGAGAGCTGTGGAGCCACGACTGTACAGTCTGTAGATCAGGGACTGGGGAGTATGTGAAGTGGTAACAGTGGAACCTGTAAGACAGTGACAGTGGGGAGTGCACACTATATTTGAAGAGGATACTTATTCTATTAAATTTGGCATACTGGAAAGCAATTGTTTCCTTTTTCTTTGAATAAGAGCCTAGCTTGTCAGAGCAGCATGATGTTGATGGCAGGAAGATCTGCACTCCCATATCAGGTGGACAGAGCAAGAAGAATGCTGTAGTACTCTAAGTGGAGGGTACTAGCATCCCAAGTCCTAACAAAGTAGCATAAGAAGTCTGTACAGTATATGTAGCAAATCAACAAAAACCTTACAAAATGCAAGGGAGCTATTGATACAGTGTGGGGGTAAATTTCTTTGTGCACCAAATTACTGTCATTGATTAAGTTCTCAGAGAAAAGGAAGACTTATCATCCAGCCACTGCACCCAAGGTAATACAATTAAAACAAACCTTAAAAAAAAAAAAAAAAAAAAAAAAAAAGGGAGCACTTCCAAGGTAGCTACATGTACAATTATAATAGAGAACCATACACTTCAGTATAAGACATCTATTAAAGGGGAATTCCAGTTAAAATTAAAAATCATCCTAAATGTCTGATTAGAAACAACTCTAATGTAGACATTCATCAACCCTCCTGTCTTTTACCATCAATGGCCTAATGTGACTGCAAACAGGCACTTCCGGGTACTGTTGTCCCCGTTTAAGTAGCCAAGTCCAAGTCTTGCTCTGCCCCACCCTGTCCAGATGTCACAGGCTCTCTCATGAATGAGACAGCAAAAAATAAGAGCAAGCCACTGGCACTACCAGAAATTATAAAAAAAGGATCCTTTGCAAAGTAAAGATGGCAGCAGGTCTGGTCCACATATACAGCTGTGCAGGGCTTTGAATGAAGACTGGCAGTGGGAGATGGGAGCTGGATGCACAGAAAAGCAGTTTAGTGTTGCTGAAAGCACTCTGAGATGCCAGCACAGTCAGTGATGTAAGTGTTGTTACATTACTTTCTGTAATGGACCGCCTGACAGTACCTCTATCAGTCCCCTGATAGAGCCTCCCCAGAGTGCGGAGTCTAAGTACCGGAGCACTTGTTCACCAGGGCCCCTGATGGTGGGGATGGACTTGGAGCGCTCCGGGACCAGGTCGCAGCTGCTAGGTATTTCTACCAGAGGTAGAGGAGTCTGCCAAGGGCTCCAGCGGGTTAAGAGTCTGATGTGAGGGAGCCCAGGGATCCCCGAGGGATGGATGGACGGATGAGCAAAGTCAGAGTCAAACAAGCCGGGTTGATAACTAGCGGGTTGGTGAGGTCCAAGATGATAGGCAAAGGATAGTTGGGTCACACGCAGGGTCAATACCAAAAGATCAGATCTATAAGGGAACATCCAGGAGCAGAGTCAGGCAAGCCAAGGGGTCAGGACAGGAGGAGGCAACAAGGTCAGACAATCCAGATCAGAGTACTCACTACACAGGCAACAGGATACAAAAGACCATTCGGCAACAAGTATCTGTGCAGGGCTGGCTTAAGTAGCCCGCCCTGCACCTGACAGTCGCCGCCTAGGTCCCAGTGCCTGCCTAGTACTGTCAAGATGACGGGTGCGCCTGGGTCCTAGTGCCCTGCTACCTGTATGTCTTGACAGACGCCTACGCATGTGTAGACCCATGCGTCGCGATGGTCCCTGACACTTTCAACTTGGAACATGTAGTCACTTTCACACCTGCAAATCATGTAGTGTTTCCATTTTTTTTTTTTAACCCCTGTATGTCTATTTGCTGCATGGGTGAATAAAGCGCACCTAAATTTTGAATAAGGGAAGATTTTCTGTGGTATAAGGTACATCAAGATCAATGTGACTAAGAAGTAAAAACTTTTTGCCTTGATTTCCACCTGAAAAATAAAGCAATTCCTGTGCCTACAGCCTCATATATGTATATTTTCATTGTCCGATCTAAGGCACTTTGGAGGAGATTTACTAAAAGTGGTGCACACAGAATCTGGTGCAACTGTCAAACAACAAACAAAAAATTCCCAGCTCACTTACCAGCAAGCCTGCAACAAACCGAATTACCCTAACATTTGCAAATACGTATATTTGTAAGCTGCAGAGGCCACATCACGGCATCCCAATGTACTGAAGTCTTAACTCTAAAAATTTTGAGAGTCTCCAAAGTTGGAGCACATATATATAGTAATGGATAGATTGTGGGCAGGTATGTCTGGAGGATCCCACCCCTCCCTAAAGGTATAGGGACGCACTGGACACCTAGCAATAGCATAATGGCAGCAAAGGTATCCAGTGCGTCCCCTCATCAATTAACCAACAGTACAAAAATGGCAACCACCCCAACCTATAACAAGCCTTTTGCAGCAAGAAGCAGATGGAAAAGGCAACACATGTCAAAAAACAACAAACAAAAATGCTCAGCTCACTTGCCAGATTGCAACAAAACAAATTACCCAGCTTGTTCAATTAAGCTTTGCCAATAAAACCTAGAAACTGATTCGGTGTGCAGCAGTTTTAGTAAATCCCCCCTTTTCATGTTTCACAAGATTTTGAGTTGGTGGTGTGATTACTTTTTCTTTTTTCACTGTTTTTTTTTGCTGGAGAAAAAAAACTGTACCCAAGTAGCTGCTAGAAAAAAATATTTTCCTGCTTATACAGGGTTAAAACAGGCAGTAAGTAGACGACATGGCTCCTCTTCACTACCTTCCGCTGAAAAGTGATCTGAGAATGGATTGCTTTTCAGAGGAGCCCTAAAAAATTATTCCAGATAGCTTAGAAAAACAGTTCTGAATGTACAGAATGTAGGGGTCAGGGTAAAGAGTAACTTACACGCACGCACGCAGATCTACTGACCTGCCTGATCCAGACACCTTCTTATTTGGCTGACTTTTACTTTCATTTAATTCATGTTTGGCACCCCGCTCTGCGGGGTCAACTGTTTGTTTCCAACGTACTGCACTGTAGGGGGAGGCTTAGCAGGTCAGAAAGAAGCTTCCCCCATCCAGGGCTTTGGACATTACTGTCTGTTCTCACTTTACTGACTTAGATTGGAACTCCGCTGATCTCAGCCCTGTATACTACAGGGCTGAGACCAGCAGAGCTGTGAACTATCAGTGTGAACCAACAGTAATGAGCAGAGCAAGTTCTTAACCAGGATGTTTTAAGACAAACTCAGATGGCACCCCAGGATGCAGAAGCACCCTGACCAGGGGCGGACTGACCATTTGGAAACTCTGACACTGCCCGGGGTCAGTAGGGGGCCCCATGAGATGCCCCTGGTACCTTTTTCATAGGCTTTTTTGAGTTTGGGCAAGGACACAGGGGCCCCATGATCCCCTATTGCCCGGGGGCCCCATGAGTTGTCAGTCCACCCCTGAGTGAGGTTGCATTAGTAAAAAAACTAAATTTTTGTGCTTACTATAAAATACTGTAGTCTGTTGAGGGACACTGGTTCCTTCCTTCATGTTTATTGCTATTGTTTTTTCATACTGAAAACAGTTATTTGCCATAAAGATTATTTTTTGACATGTAACACCTAATCAAAACAATTTTGATGTGTGAATGTCTCAAGTATTCACACAGCCTTCACAAATAATTCCTGTAATTTGGAAGTACATTTATTTCCTGTGATTGTCTCGTGCATCTTGTGGCCATAGTGCAATATTTTCCTGAAATATCTCAATCGGAAAAATACCACATTATGGCCTCTAGATGGAGCTGACGATCATAGGAAATAAACATTAGGCAAATTATGGTGATTATTTGTTAAGGCTTTGCACATGCTTAAGACATTTGAACAGTGGATTTTATATAAGTAGACCCCTATTTCTTAGTAAATTGACATTGCTGTCTAAAAACCTGCTGTCTGACATGTATCCATAGATGAATGGATCATTTGCAAACATAGTGAGACCTTTGCCTGCCTACCTCTTCCTGTGCCAAGCTACAATGATGTTACAGTAGTCATTTAATCATCGTAAAAGTGAGAATGTATGAAGATTGTTCTCAATGCACACAGTGCAATTAAAGAAGAAAGCTTAAGCTGCTGTGTTTTTCAATATTGAAATGCAGGTATCATGGCTGGTTCTAATCGGTCTGGAGATTTGAAGGATGCTCAGAAATCTATCCCTTCAGGAACAATATTGGCCATTGCAACCACGTCTTTTATATGTATCTTTTTTTTAATGTTTATTTGTGGGTATACGGAGAAAATGCAATTGCATAAAGGTAATTTGTTTGCACTTGAGCTTGCAAAAGAAATAGAAAATCCAATCAATGAGCCTGGTATCCATATTTTTGCAATGAAGTTTGGGAACAAACTATCTAAAACTTTCTACTGAATTGCTGAGAGATCTACAAATCTAAAATAAATGTGCTAGCAAGTGCATAAAACAATCAGTATAGGTAGTAATTCTAGGTAGCTGCTGGCACTAAAGGGTATAGGTAACAGTCCCAATAAATGCATCAAAATTATAGAAGTGCAGCACTGATATAGAGATATATATATATATATATATATATATATATATATATATATATATATATATATATATATATATATATATATATATATATATATATATATATAATCTCTATCAATCCATTTATAACATCAATTACTCAGTGTATCACATACATCCAGATATTGTGTAGGTAAAGTAGGGGGTCGTCTTATACGCCGGCAAATACGGTACATTTATTTCCTGTGATTGTCTCGTGCATCTAGTGGCCATAGTGCAATATTTTCCTGAAATATCTCAATCGGAAAAATACCACAGTATGGCCTCTAGATGGAGCTGACGATCATAGGAAATAAACATTAGGCAAATTATGGTGATTATTTGTTATGGCTTTGCACATGCTTAAGACATTTGAACAGTGGATTTTATATAAGTAGACTCCTATTTCTTAGTAAATTGACATTGCTGTCTAAAAACCTGCTGTCTGACATGCTGTCTGAATTGCTGAGAGATCTACAAATATAAAATAAATGTGCTAGCAAGCACATAAAACAATCAGTATAGGTAGTAATTCTAGGTAGCTGCTGGCACTAAAGGGTATAGGTAACAGTCCCAATAAATGCATCAAAATTATAGAAGTGCAGCACTGATATAGATATATATATATATCTATATCTCTATCAATCCATTTATAACATAAATTACTCAGTGTATCACATACATCCAGATATTGTGTAGGTAAGCGCTAGGTATTATGAGGTATATAAATTAGAATAGTCAGATTAACGCTCTGAAAATAGTTGTTCGCAATCTGGATATCGACAACGATCTCAAACTCAACTTCAAAGGTATAAGTGCAGCGTTATAAACGCAGGTACAGAAATACCATGTAATAAAGTGCAGAGAAGTGCAACTAAGTGCATCAATATGCGTCTGTGACAACTGTAACAATAGTTCAACTGGCAATGAAACCTAATAATGTCCTTATGGAAGGATAATTATTCCAAGTGCCAAAGTGCAAACGTGCAGTTACGCATGACGTGCAGACGTGTAGAAATTAATGAAAGGAATCCACCACTTGGGACGGATGTGCACTCACAAGACAGAAAATGTTAATGCGCATTTGTTTAAATCACACATCTGGGGGTGCAGTGGTCTACTGATAGCTCTGGGTCTATTGTTGTAGCTTCATCCATCCATTGGGACAGGTCTCCTGTGATCCTGGGGGGGGATCTGCTCAGCCACAGGAGCCAAAAAGTGCTTTATATAGTGTAGCATTTATTTCAAATCATGTATCAGACATAAAAAATATCATCCATGTGGAGTAATACAAAATCAAGGAAAAATAAAGGAAAATAAATGATTGTATCCTGGATCAGGATAGAGCCAGATGCCTTGGCACTGACAGAAGTCTCTGGCTGAATTAAAAGTACCATATAACAAAGGAGTGTCAGACTGTGGAGAGCTTACTTTAGTGATGGACAGAGGAGCTCATGGCTGCAGGTCTCCTTCTATGGAGACTAGAAAATACATGGAACTGCTGGGACAGATAGTTCCCTATGGGCTTTGCTTTGTTTTCTGCACTGCTGGGACTTGTAGTTCTGTGTGCATTGAAGATAGCGTGAAGTCCCAGTGTCCAGAACGCACACAGTCCCAGCAGTGCAGAAAACAAAGCACAGCCCATAGGGAACTATCCGTTGCTGCACTTATACCTTTTGAAGTTGAGATTGTTGTCGATATCCAGATTGCTAACAACTATTTTCAGAGCATTAATTTGACTATTCTAATTTATATACTTCATAATACCTAGCGCTTACCTACACAATATCTGGATGTATGTGATTCACTGAGTAATTGATGTTATAATTGGATTGATAGATATAGATATAGATATATATATACACACAGCGCTGCACTTATATCATTTTTATAAATCTACAATTATGTTTTTACGTCAATACTGCTTTAACCCTTTTGCTGCCAGAGCCATTTTTACATTTTTTTGCAACACTTATTTATATGTACTTTTTTAGGCTTGATGAATATTTAAAAGCACTAAAAAATATATGTACATTTTCTGAAAGCAAAGACTCTAAAGAATAAAATGCTGGTAGTTGTATGTCTCATATTTTTTTTATTCTAATCCTTTATTAACACAATTGTTTAGAAAACCCATATTTTCAGTGAAAAAATATGCTAAAGTTAATTGCACACAAACAAAATATATATTGTGCAATTATTTTGTAAAATATATAAACCATGACGTTATGTGGAATAAATAGATACCCAAAGTGTCAAGACTCTGGAAACAAACTACAGCCAAATTTGTCTGACAATTCTTTAAAAAACCTTTGAGGGTCATTATTATTATTATACAGTATTTATAAAGCGCCAACAGTTCGCTCAGCGCTCTACATTACAAAGGGAGACCGAACATGCGACAGTACGAAAACAATACAATGTGATACACGAGGGTTCGAGGGCCCTGCTCTCTTTCGAGCTTACAATCTAGGAGGGAGGGGATAGGGGTACAGGAGGAGATAGCTGTGGGGGATGGAGTGGAGGAGGTCGGCAATTAGCAGGGGGTGGGGTAGGCTTCCCTGAAGAGGTGGGTTTTCAGGGTGCGCCTAAATAGAGGGAGAGTAGGTGATAGTCTGATGGGTTGGGGTAGGGAGTTCCAGAGGATAGGTGATGTCCTGGAGAAATCCTGGAGGCGGGCATGGGAGGAGGAGACCAGGGAACTAGAGATGAGGAGGTCTTGAGAGGAGCGGAGTGTGCGTGTTGGGTGGTACTTGGATATTAGGTCGGTGATGTAGTTCGGGGCAGTATGGTGGACGGCTTTGTACGTCAGTGTTAGGATTTCGAATTTGATCCGTTGCGCAATCGGAAGCCAGTGGAGGGATTGGCAGAGGAGGGTGGTGGAAACGGAGCAGTTGGTAAGTTGAATGAGTCTGGCTGCCGTGTGTTCAGGATCGACTGAATCATCATTGCTATCATTTGGGAAGTGGGGTTGTGGTGACAAGTCCCCTATGTGATAGCACAAGGGAAGTGACAGGTTCTCGTCAATAAGACATCAAGGGTCGATTAGATCCCTAATGTTTCCTCTGCACTCTGTTGAAGCTAAATAAGTACAGACTATGTGCCGGCAACAGGGGAATGACAGCTCTGAAACAGGAAGTGACTAAATTCTTCATTCTCTATATGGGCAATCAGTGAACCATTGTTCACTGAGCATCCTCTGCTCTCCCCGGAGACATTTGCCATGAACATTCTGGATACCTTGGAGATGCAGCAGAGCATGGGATATATGGCATTGAGGAGTTTGACAGGAGGCCGTATGTTGCTGCACCTGTGGAGGTGATTGAACTGTTTTTTACAGTCCCCCATATCACTTCCACAAGAAAGCTGCCGGTCAGCTGAAGAAATGTACACACTGTTGGCTGGTGTGTAAATGCCGCTGTGGCTGCTGCTGCTGACATGAGCCAGATAAGAGCCTGAGACATTGCCTGGCATGTTCTAGGTATATATCTTGAGCTCATACATTTAGTTGCCAGGAACTTTTTTGGTTTGAAAACTGAGACCCTAGTCTAAACATCATAACTTTTATTAGCAGATATTTCATTGATTAGTGGCAATAAGAGCTGGATCTCATCAGATTCTGTTTAAAGTGTGAACAAATACTGGTTTCATTGGGACAGACTTGGGACCCATTTCCTTTTTGTGTATTACAAGGGGACCAACGTGGTAATGTGCACTAGTTTATGAACGATTATTTTTTTACAGCTCACAACAGCACACATAAGCTTCACAATTTTGCTTTGCAATGCATTGCTCAGGGCTCCTTGGGGTGCAACACGATGCACAGGCTATTGCATATATATATATTACAGCAATGCAGAAGTGTGACTCTTAATGCAGGAATAGAACCTATGCACATGCAAAAGTGAATGTTGTGTTTGCAAAGTGAGTTTTCATTAAGTACAGTAAACAGCTGAAAGTGTGTTCACTTTTTTTTATCAGCTAACATGTTTTTTTTTTATTTCCTTCTAGTGGGCATTCAAAGTGAACAAAGATTCCCCTTATTTAGCAATATTTACTTTGCTAAATAAACCGCATATATTCCTTTAGTACATCAGTCCCATTGCATCTAAGTTTGGCAAGCAAAAAAAGTAGTAGTGGAGGAATGTAGGAAAGGGGAGTATATACAGCTGCGGAGGTCAGCAGTTAAGAATATTTCTTGTTTTGTCCTGGATACGATTCAATACTCTATGGTCACGTGGCTAGTGGCTCACAATTCCTGCTGTCACTGCTAGCTCCAGTCCCCATTTACAAACCGGAATCAATCAGATTGGTCATGTGATCATGATGTCACTATTACATAATGATCACATGGAGACTGGAGATTTCCTTGACAAAATAAACCTTCAGCCTGCAGTAATCAAACTGTTTAATACTATAATTGTCACATATATCTTAAGTTTTAAAAAAAATATTACATTAGAAAACCTTTTTTTTTCTTACTACTTTGGGTTCTTGTCAGCCTACAAAAACCAGCAGGGCTTTTATTAAAACTGTGTACAAAATAAAGGATTCTATAGCTCAATTGACTTGACAATCTTGAAAACCGCCTACATGTTTTGTTCTACTCTACATAAAATGGTCCACTTTTTTGCAAGCGGCATACAAGTATTCAGTGTCCTTTCTGCTGAA